TTCAAATCCACTCAAGAACAAAGATTAACCATCACAGCACCAATTTGCATGATACTTATTAATTTTAAGGTTACAAGACTACCTAAACTTGTTTCATAAATCCTATGGTCTTTGTATGTAGGTCCAATATTTATGTATTAAGAAATGGGGGTTATTTGTATGGCATATATCTTCATTGTCTTCTAAATGAGGGTACCCCTGTTTATAACCAGTGAAGTTGTGATGTCTGTAGCAAACCAACAGACTTTATCAATATTTACTCTTAACATTTAAAAAAAATATATACTTTATTTTTTAAAGCTGTTTTGGTTCATAGCAAGACTGAGGAGTATGTTTCCCATACCCCTTTTTTCCCTGCACATTCATAACTTCTCCCAGTATCAGCATCACCAATTCGAGTGGATTATTTTTATAGCTGGTGAACTTACACTGATACATTATTACCACCATAGTGATAGTTTATGTTAGGGTTTACTCTTGTGTTATATATTCTGTTAAATTGGACAGATTCATAATGACATGCATCTACCTTTAGAGTACATGAAAATAATTATCTCTGCACTGAAAAATATGTGCTGTACCTATTCACCCCCCAACTCACAATAACTCGGATCCTTTTCTCCCGTAGTTTTGGCTTTTCTAAGTGTCACACATACAGCATGTAGCTCTTCCAGTTTGGCTTCTAGATTCACTTAGTAATATGCATTTGAAGTGCATTTATGTCTTTCAGTATCTTCATTGTTATTTTTTTCATGTAATAACATTATCTAGGTGTACCATACTTTATCCACTCACCTGTGGAAGGGCAGTTATGAGAAAGTTTTACAAATAGCTGTGTGTCGGTGTTTATACACAACATCTCAACTCCTTTGGGTAAATACCGCAGAGTATGACTGTAGATCATATGCTAATAACTGTTTAGTCTTATAAAAGAAACTGTAAAACTGCCTTCCAAAGTGATAACTTGCATTCCCATCAGCAGTGAATGAGACTTTCTGTTGTTTTATGTTCTTATTGGCATTTGGTGGTGTTAGTGTTCTGGTATTTGGCCATTCTAACAGATCTGTGAGTAGTGTTCTGATTCACATCTGCATGATGCATCCTTTCTGTAGATACCTTTCCATATGATTTCATGTGCTAACTTGCCATGTTAAAGTATTTGGCTCTTTCTATTCAGATTATATTCTTATTGTCTGGATTTAAGAGTTCTTATATTATATTTTATTGATTGATTTTTTGTGGATTTCATATATCTCTATCATACATGGACCTCTTCCCCTATCTGCACCTTCCCATACTTTGGATGGCAGTCCTTGGTCAGATATGTCTTTTGTGTATTTTTCTCCAGTCTTTGGCTTGTCTTTTCATTCTCTTGTCAATGTCTTTTTCAGATCAGAAATGTTTAATTTTAATGAAATGAAGTTTGTCAATTCTTATTGGTGCAATTAGAGTTATATCTGATATATCCTTGCCCAAATCATGGTCATTTAGATTTTTCCCTTTGTTATTTTGTAGGGGTTTTGTGTACACTCTGTTTCATATTTAATTTGTGGTGCATTTTTGGTTAATTGGTGTGAAGGGTCTATTTCTAGATTCTTTTTGTGTGGGTGTGCAGTTGTTTTACCACCATGTGTTGGGAAGATGATCTTTCCTCCACTGGATAGATTGTCTTTACTCCTTTTTTTAAAGATCAGTCTACTATACTTATATGAATAATTTTGAGAGATATCTATTCTCTTTCATTGATCTATTTGCCTATTCTTTTATCAAATCTTTTTCACTCTGTCTTGAGCACTGTGCATTTTACTCGGTCTTGAATTTATGTAATGTCAGACCTCTGACTTTTTTTCTTTTTCTTTAGTATTTTGTTGGCTACTTGGCTCTCCATATAAACTTTAAAATCAGTTTGTTTATATCCACAAAATGGCTTTCTTGTCATTGAAATCTTGGTTAGGAGTGTGTTGAATCTATACATTGAATCAATTTGGGAAGAACTAGCATTTGCAATGTAAACCTGTGACATATCTCCATTTATCATCTAGTTATTTGATTTCTTTCATGAGAGTTTTGTATTTTCCTCATATGGGAACACACACACATATGTAGTTCTATATAGTTCTTTTATCTATCTATCTATCTATCTATCTATCTATCTATCTATCTATCTATCTATCTATCTATCTATCTATCATCTATCTATCTATCTATCTATCTATCTATCTATCTATCTATCTATCTATCTATCTATCATCTATCTATCTAGTTTGTTGATTTCTTCGAGTTTTGTATTTCCCTCATATACACACACATGTATATCTATGTATTTTATGAGATTTATACTCAGGTATTTAATTTGGGAGGTTAGTGCCAATGTTAATTTTTCAGATTCTAGGTGTTCATGCTGGTTTATAGCAAAACAGTTCTGACTTCTGTATATATTCACTGTGTATACTATAACCTTGTTTTAATAACTTACTAATTCTTCTATTGTAACCTCATAAGATTTGTGAACATCAAGTGTTATTGTAGGGAAGGATAGGTGGCTACTTAATTAGTACAGGTGGAACATTTCATACCCAAAATGTTTGCACCAGCAGTGATTTGGATTTCAGACTTTAAAAAAAATTTAAAAAATGATTTGCAGGTTAATAATAAAATCTTGGAAATGGGACTGAAGTCTAAACATAGAAATCAGTCACATGTCATGTATACTCTATAGAATAGACTAAAAGTAATTTCACAGAAATTCAGGTATGAAATTACCCATGTGTGGTATCTGTTAGTGCTTTAAAAAATTCAGATTTTGGAACATTTTGGATTTTCAGATTTAGAATGCACAGTCTGTACCTGCTCATTACCTGTGAGGGTGCCACCAATAAGGTTTCCTCAGAAATGATTTGGGAAGAGGTTGTCACTGATAAAAGTTTTAAGTAATTATAAAAATCCCTAAAAGTATAAAACGCAAATAAAAATGATTGTAATCTGTGATTTTTTTTTTAAAGGACAGGTAAGTTGCCATCATCTGGTAACACATTTCTATAGAGGATATAAGCCAGGTCATATGTATTTTTTCTACTGAGTAGTCAGTTTAATATATCATGGTAATTAATAAAAATTCCATATAAATATTTTACTATATATTTTTTTCTTTTTAGACAGGGTCTTCCTGTTGCCCCCAGCTGGCCTGGAACTCACTATGTAGACCAGGCTGGTCTTGATTTCACAGAGATCCACTTGCCTCTGCCTCCCAAGTACTGGGATTAAAGGCATGTGCCACCACATTTGGCAATTTTACTATATTCTTAAAGTAACTCTCTGCGTATAAATCTGCTGCTTTAAAATATCAAGCAATGAAATATAAATCAATGGAAAATTATTAGTCTTGAATTTTCACTTATAAATGGGTCCACCACAGGATTAATTTTGGTAGTAATTATAGTAGCGACACAAATAATTGATTTTGGTTTTCTTTCTACATGCTAAGGAAGTGCTGTACCACCACGGAGCTATATCCCTAGCTCGCTTTTTGCTTTTTGAAACAAGATACCACTAAATTGCCCAAACTAGTCATAAACTTACTTTGTAACACAGGCAGGCCTTGAACTTGTGATCCCCCCTGCTTCAGCCTCCCAAGTAGTTGGGACTGCAGGCCTGTACCACCAAGCCTGGCTTTTATTTTTTATAATTACTACTTATTTATCCTTATAATAAACAACTATTTCAGAACATACAGTAGAGCTAAATCAGGACTTTTCTTTTATCCTTTCATAGCATATTTGAATTTTTAAAAATTTCAGTTGGGAATAAAGACATGCTTTTTTATGTCAGTGTATTCATATCTGTGGGAGACAGGCTTGAACCTAGGGTGAAAGTCTTATTGACAGCCATACAGCAGACCCCAGGCAACTGAAATGCCTTGAGACATTTGCTCCCATTGGCAGATCATGAGACTGATGCCTAGAGCTCACCACTCCCTAATCACCACCCTGTAGATCCCAAATTGCAACACTAGACAACCTGGGTCACGTGATTCCCAGGAAACCAGGCCCTATAAGGAAACCAGAACCTAAGGAACCTGAAACCCATTATGCTTTTTAGGTGCCTGACTCCCGATGTCATGATAGGACACAGCCCTGCCAAAGATCTGAGTTGTAACTTCTTGATTGGACTCCTACCCCTATATAAAGGTTGTGCTCTTCTACAATAAACCGGATCGGCGTCAAGGAACCTGGTCTCCTGTGTCTGAATACGGCTCCACTGACAGAGTCTCCTCACCAGCCCTGGGGTCCAGGACGTCAGAAGTATCTGAGGTAGCACTGCAACGAGCAGAAGTGTGGCTCCAGCACGGGGTGAGAAGAAGAGCTGCCTCAGCACGACCACAGCTTGCGGCCGCCACGAGGAGTGAAGGGCAGCGCCCATGCGATCAGGGGCAGCGCCCAGAAGGTGTCGCCCGTCTGATTGCTGGCGGCGCCCATGCAATCGGAGGCGGCACCCAGGAGGCAGTGCCCGTGTGCTCTCGAGGTGCCCATGCGATCAGCACCATGTGAATGGAGAGCGGCCGCAGGCGGCGCCCGTGTGAGCAGAGGAGCGGCGCCGGGAGACAGCACCCAGCAACGGAAGAGTGGAGGGGCTGCGGCAGCTGGCGGTGGCCGCATATATCCACTAAAATAGTTTTGAGGTTAACACATCAAGCAGTCATTAATCATGTCATTGCATTCCCCACATTGTAAAGCTTCTTTCCTATCCTTCATAAGAATTTCCCTGGGATTTCAAAGCTATCTGGACTTCAAAGAGCCATTATATATAGCAAAGGCTTTTAAAAATCTCAGTATTTGTAAATAGATATTGGGATACTTAAATGTAGTATGTGATAAGAATGCATGTTGTTAACACAAAGTCTTGCAAGTACTGGAAACTGCCATGTGGAGAACTATCATCAATGTGAACCTGGAAGGACATTCTTATGTTTGAAACTTACACCTTTCTGCTTTTTATTTTAGAAAACCATGAGTTTGATTTTGGTGTGGATATTTTGGAAGAATATATGAAACAAATGCACTTTACATGGTTTCTCAGTAAAGTCCACAACAAATTTACTTCAGAACCTCTTGGACATGGTGCAGTAAAGAAAACAGTTAATTGGAACAATATAAAAATTGGCTTAATGGGATTAGTTGAAGAAGACTGGCTTGATACTCTGGCTACAGTCAGTAAGTCAAATGTAAGCTATAAAGATTATGTTGAAGTTGTGAATGAAATAGCAGTAGAACTCAAGGAAGAAGGAGCAGATCTTGTTATTGCAACGACTCATATGAAATGGGGAAATGACACAAGCCTTGTCCAATGAGTAGAAGGGGTCAATTTGACTCTAGGAGGCTATGACCATGAATATGGAATCAGGAAGGTGAATGAGACTTGGATTGTCAAAAGTGGATCTGATTTTAAAAATCTGATGAAAATAAATATAAGGCTATTTGATACTTCTTTCCAATATGTATTTGAAAAAGTGGATGTTTTGAGTTATTTGGAAGAAGATTCATATATCAAAGCAATAGTAAGAGATTTTACTCAAAACATACAGGTGACTTTTTCATATATTATTTAGAAAAGTGTGCACTGATCACCTGAACATTTTCAGATAGCACTAAGGCATGATACCATGTCATCTTCAAGCACAGTAAATTAATGATACTTTTTTAAAATTATAATTTGATTCTCACATTTCCTTCATATGTTTGGCTTTATAAATAACAGGAATTTGGGGGCTGCAGAGATGGCTTAGTGGTTAAGAGCACTGGCTGCTCTCAGAGAAGACTCCAACACCCACATGATAACTAACAACCTTTGGTAACTCCAGTTCCAGTGGATCTGATGCTCCCTTCTGGGCTCTGTGGGCACTGCACTTAGAGACATGCAGGCAAAACAATCATACACATATAATATAAATAAATAAATAGATAAATAAGTAAATTATTTTTAAAAACCTGAAATTTAGACTCACTGTAATAGTTTGGTTTATTTGAACTGGTTTTATGAAAGTGTTTTTCTATACTCATTCTTCAAGAATTTACATCTCTAATAAAGAGATTACCATTTAAAGTTATGAAATATGATGTCCATACAAAAGTTCGGGTGAATTTCTTGTCTGTTTGTAATGAAAATACACCCTTTCCTTCCTTTTTTTCTACTTAAGGATCTCAAACATTTGATGGTTTGTAATCAGACCACTTTAAAATTTTTCTGTGTATTTGAAGCCTTAGGGCTTGCCTTTTTACTAGGGTCCCAAACACATTGGACAAAGAGGAATTCTGCATGCATGCAGAATGTGTGTGTGTGTGTGTGTGTGTGTGTGTGTGTGTGTGTGTTACATTTGTGAGAACTAATGTGAATATAAGCCATGTTCTATTTACATTGATACATGTATTGTTTAATACAATCTTTGACACCTGAATTCCCCTGAATTAGTTCTATGGGAATGTGGCTTTCTGTTCTGATTTAGATTTAATGTTGGATCAGCATGGTTGGATCACAAATATTACATGTTTTAACAGATTTCTAGCTCTAAAAGGCTTGGATAGGGACTTAAATTATATGATAACCTGACTTCTCAAAAAGTTCTGAAAAATAAATGGTTGTTGGAATGCTTGGTGTTTTGTTTCCTTTTAGTATTGTGATATGGAAAGGAGGAGTTTCAAAAGTTATTTGATTTCAACTTGGAGATAAAAAAATGATCAAGGAAAAAATTAATAAAAATTAATGGAACACAAGGAATGTTGATTTTAGATAACGTTTTTTTCTTGTTTTAGTATATGTTGGAAGAAGTTCTCTGCCCAACTGATATGGAATTAGATGGCCATGAAATTACTGTAAGAAGATCTGAGAGCAATTTGTTAACTAATGCAATGTTAGAGTCCACTCATGTTGATGTAGCATTGCTTAATTCAGGTGACTTTATTATTTGTTAGAAAGAAACATAGATGACTAAAATCAGACTTTCAGAGTTTACAGTAATAGTAGGCTGTTTTAAGATATGCAAATTAACTTCAGGAGATCAGCTACTCATTTCCAGTTGTTCTTAGGGATGGTAATTGGAATCAGATACTGTAATTCAGTTTATTTGCATTTAAAGCATCAAGGATTTTTGACATGTCAATGACATTTTGAATGAAGACATCGCCTTGTCATTCATGTGTTTTAAACTTGTGATGTTAAGCCTTGACTACAGGAAAGCAATAGATGAGTCTTTGACTTCAAGTTCCTGCTCTTTAACCAAACTTTTCCTTTTGAATTATATAATAAGAAGAAACTGAAAGAGAACTCTTACTGTGTAAAAGGGAAACTTGCTCTTTACTGAGCCGTTTTGTGTACTGATAGCCTGAAGTTGATCTATTCAGGATTTGTGAGGTACAGAGAATCTCTATAGAAAGTTAAAAATAATAATTTTTGAGAACAACTTTGATGTAAATGTTGTAATCAAGAGCATTGAATAGGACTCAGCATATATGGCAGAGTGCATAGGGTTTGGTGGGGGGAGAGGCATGCATGGGAGAGGGGGTCTGGATGTGAGTGGAAAATATTGTATGAAATTTTAAAAGCTCAATAAAAAAAGAGCATTAGATATTGTATAGCCACAGTGACTAGGTGCCTGATTATGTCAAAACTTTAGAATGTAGGGTTGGAGATGCAGCTGAGGGTGGAGCTCTTTTGCCAAGTGTGCACGAGGCCTAGCATCCCCTTTCTACTCTCCCCAAATTTACAGTGCAACATTTAACATCCTAAACACAAATTCCTCATAACTCCATTTTCTTGGGAGATACAAGTGATTTTAATCTTACATATGGATAACAGAGTAATCTATGGAAACATTACTAAGAGTGAAATTTGTTAAACTTAAGAGTTACATAGTTAACAGTTCTTTGGAATTGCTACCTGTGGAGATCTTAAAAAAAATATGACATTTTCTATAGAATGTTTCATGCATGATCCTGTGCAGAAGTAGGAGAGACATACTGGCTTTCTGGTGGTCATAATCTCTTAATTATGAAGAACGTAATAGGGGTAGGAGAGACGGCTCACCAGTTAAGAGCACTGGCTGCTCTTGCAGAAGGCCCAGACTTGGTTCCCAGTATTTACATACTAGCTAATAACCATCTGTAACTCCAGTTGCAGGGGAATCTGACACTGTCTTCTGACCTACATGGACATTCTATGACATGGGTGCACTCACACCCATGCAGGCAATGCACTCATACACACAAAATAAAAATAATACAGAAAATATTAAAAAAGGACATAGTAATTAACATGAAATTAAATCTTCTAAAATGAATATGCTATATATAAGATTAAGATGCAAGTAAATGTGAGGAAGTGATTAGAAAGCTGGCTACGAACTTTTGTCAGTGGGATATAAAATTCTAGCATTTTAAATGTAACTGAATCATCAAGGTGATGTTTTACGAAAAAACTAAAACACAGCATTTTTCTTTTTAAATCACTGCAGGCACTCTGAGATCTGACGGAATACATCTACCAGGAAATTTCACTTTGCACGATCTTTTGGCTGTTCTTCCCATAGTGGACCCAGTTTTAGTTATCAGACAGGTGCTCACTTGAAAATGGGATTTACAAGTACCCTGCCCTAGATGGGAGGTATATACATCTATTTATATTAAATGATGTACTTAAAACTTTCTAATAGAACTGATAAAAATTTAATTTAAATATGATTTAAAATTTAAATTTATAAAGCTTTAAAATATTAATGTTAATATGTAAGGGTAATTGAAAAATCTCTAATTCTTATTTTGACTAAATAGTTTGAGATTGGCAAAATATTGCTATGTAAAAATTACACCTGTTATTAAAATATTATTTTTAGTTGTGCATGGGTATATTTGGGTAGGTTTTTGTTTGTTTATTTTGAGGCAGGGTCTCCCTGAAGCCCCAGCTAGCTTGGAATCCTCTATATAGACCAGGCTGGTGTCGATCTCACAGAGATCCACCTGCCTCTGCCTTCCAAGAGCTGGGATAAAAAATGTGCCCCACCACGCTTGGCTATTTGGGTAGGTTTTAGGTGAGTATGTGAGATACTTCTCTTTTGTCCTCTAATCTTAAACTAAATATATGAAAAGCCTGTGGGTAAATACTAAAACCTAGGTTGTGGTCATATACATAGTAACAAGAATTAGCAAGCTGAAAAAGGTATGAAACAAGTGTGTGGAGAGAGAAGTTATAAAAACATCATATGCTTTGATAAATTGTTATATCGTTTTGTTTAAAAAGCTGTATAGAAATATTCATATGATATGATTTGTCCATTTTTAGAGTTGTGTGATTATTGTTATAACCAATTTGAGAACACTTGCATCACCCTGTAAGGACCCTGTATCCATTGGCATCCTCTTTTCAATCCTCTCCAGCCCACCCAGCTCTACAGAAACCCTAATCTATTTTAGGTCTTTGTATGTTTATCTGTTCAGTGCATCTCACATAAATGGAATCCTGTCATGCAGTCTTTTTACTGGCTTCTTTCACATAGCATGTTTTCAAGGTTCATCCATGTGTCTGTGCTTACTTTCTTTTAATTGCTGAGTAACATTTCATTGTATGGATAATAACACCCATTCATCAGTTGAGGATATGTGGATTACTTCCATACTTTTGGGTATTATGAATAAAGCTGCTATGAAAATACGTGTACAAGTGTTTGGTTGGGCTCTCAGATCTATACTTAGGATTTAAAGTGGTAGGTTGTATAACTCTGACTTTTACTTTTTGAGAAACAAACAGACTTTGCCAAACGGACTGTACTATTCTAACATTCTCCCAACAGTGTACAGTATCCACATTTCAGTTTCTCCACTTCCCTACAATGCTTGTTATGTTACCTGTCCTTCATACTAGCTATCCTAGTAAATATGATGTGATATCTCCTTGTGATTTTATTTGTATTTCCCTGTTGTTGGGGTAAAGCATCTTTTTCATGTGCTTATTGACTGTATATTTTCTTTTGAGAAATTATATCTTTTGCCCTTTTAAAAAAGGTTGCTCTTATAAAAAGTCTGAGTTATGCAGGAGTTCTTTCTGTCTCTTAGATGAGTCTCATGAGATTTATGATTGGCAAAGGTTTTCTTCCATGCTGTTTTTTTGTCGTGCTGTTGATGGTATTTGAAGCATGATAGTTTTTAACTTTTGAGAAATCCAATTTATTTACTTTTTCTTTTGTCGCTTGTACAAATATTATCATTTTGTGAAATTGGTATCTAATATGATATCTCAGAGATTTAAATCTGTTTATTCCAGGAGTTATTTTAGTTTTGCTTGATCTATTTTGAGTTAACTTTTGTGTATGATGTAAGATGGTGGTCAAACTTAATATTTTCCATGTGGATATGCAATTGCTTGAGATCATTTATTGACAAGACTGTTTTTCCCCAATTATATTGTTTTGGTACCCTTGTCACAGATTGTTTTACCATGAGCGTAAAGGTTATTTACAGCTGTTCATGTGTGTTCTGTTGACCTGTGTGTCTGTCCTTACAGGCAGCATCACACGAAGTTTTTAAACTTTCCAACTTTGTTCTTTCTTTCAGGATCATTTTGGCTCTTTTGGGCTCTTTGTATATCCAAAATGAATTTTAGAATCAGCTTCATAATTTCTACAAAAAAGGAAGGTAGAATTTTTATATGGATTGAGCTGAATATATCTATCTATCTGTCTGTCTATCTATCTATCTATCTATCTATCTATCTATCTATCTACCATCTCTCTATCATCTATATCATCAGTCATCCATTTATGTATCATGTAGGCATCTGACATCGATCTAACTTTCTATTTATCACCTCTATGACCTATACAGATTTGGGCAGTTTTGCCTTCTTAAAAGTTTTGAACTTTTCAACCCAACAACATGGAATATTTTGCCATACATTTAGTGTTTCTGGAACAACAAGTGGTGACAAAGATGTAGAGAAAAGGGAATCTTTATACACACTTATGGGTATAGAAATTAATATAGCCAATATAAGAAAAGAATATTGAGGTCCCAAAAACATGAGAAATAGAGCTATTCTATATTACAACAGTCCTATTACTGAATACATAGCCAAAGAAATGAATTCAGTATATTAAATGGATACCTGCATACCCATATTTACTACACTACTTAAAATAATGAAGAAATGAGATCAACTTAAATGTTTATCAAGGGATGAATGGATAAAGATGAATACCTGATGGAATACTATTGGCTATGCAAATGAAGGAAATCTTATCTTTTGTGAGAACATGGATGAACCTGGTGACTTATGCTAAATTAAATAAGACAGGTATAGGAAGACAAATGCCACATGATCTTACATGTGGAACTTAAAAAGGTTATTTTAGGCCTGGAGAGATGACTCGGCAGTTAAGAGCCCTGGCTATTCTTACAGAGGACCTGGGTTTGATTCCCAGCACCCACATAGTGGCTAACAACTATTTGTAACTCCAGTTCTAAGGGATCTGATGCCCTCTTCTGACCTCTACAGGCATTGCACAACATGGGTGCACTTACATACATGCAGCTAACACACTCATACAATAAAGATAATAAACAAAATATTTTAAAAGGTTATTTCATAGATTTATAGAGTAGAATGGAGATGTCCAGAGGCTGGCATACAGAGATATTAGTCAAAGCATATAAAATTACTATAGGAGAGTAATCTGCAGAGATGTACTCTACAGCAAGGTGATTATGGTTAATAATGATACATTGCATTCTTAGAAAATGATTAAGAGGATAGGAGTTCTCACCACAAAAGCAGTGACTGTGAAATAATGATAGGTTAGAGTTACTCTACAAAGTTACATATGCTTCAAACCTTCATGTAGTACATGATAAATAAATGCAATTTTATTTATTCATGTAAAATAATGGCTCTTAGTTCTATAAGGTTACAATAGCTTCTAGCCTTTGAACTTGAATTTACCCTAATTTAAGTTTTTCAGTCTCCAATATTATATGAACAAATTATATACATTTCTGTTTCTCTATAACATTCTCTTCTTGAAGAAAATAGAATGACCTCTTTTAAGGCTAAAGGTATTCCTGACTTTCCTCAGGGTTTACTCTTGAACACCTTTTTGTTTGTAGATCTCTAACTAGATTCAATTTAAAGCTGCCTTCAAAAGTTTAGGCAGAATGTATGATCCAGAAAGAAGAATGAAATACACCCTCAAAGAACTGTGGGTTCTTTTCAACTTATATAAACAGAATCCTAGGAACGTGTAAGTATGGCTATTCAGGGTAGGTGATCAGATATAGGTATATAAAGCTGAATCAGTATATACAGGCTCAGTAGTCAATGGTTCAGTCTTTCAGTTCAGAGTTAAGAAAGGCTTGTCCAGTTCGTTGGTTGGTTGGCTGGACTGAAAAGGTGACCTACATTAATTGAATTTGAAAAGCCTCATCATACTATAGAGTAAGGTATCCAAAGGTTTAATATTGCAATGCTAAGAGCAATTTACCATTAAACACTTGCTCTGTAATCCTCTAAGGAAATGCATTTCACAAGAATTATAAGTAATAAATACATTTCAGTACTGGAAAGCTCTGTGGTATCTTCTTTATAGGTCAGAAATTAGAGAGGAAACTGAACCACAATCCCTAAATTCAAATACAGGGATCCTGGGGTATAAGGGACCAAATAGTGGCACTTAGTTGTCAAATATACAGTGAGTATGTTTGCCGTAATAGATGGGCAAGTCAAAACACTATTCAGAATAGCTTGAGTTGCAAAGATTATGGTGAGGGTGAGAATGTACTAAGAATACAAATGATTCCCAGCCTACCTCATTCTCACATCATCTAAAAGCAGAGAACTAGGTCTAGGCTGCAGCCCTTTCAAAAGTAAGTTGGAATCAGTTTATAGTACCCCCATATAACAAATGAGGAAGACAAGGAAAGTGACCAAAGTCACATAGAGATTTAAAAGTGATGGCTTTAACATTCCTGTCAATTTCAAGAGCTCTGCTCTTTTCACTATATTCTGTTAGTACTGCCTGCCACTTACTGGATATTCACTGATGCTGCCATGATAGTTCTGCTAAAGAAGCAAGTAAGAGATCACCTGAATGCTGAAGGAGTGAGCTACCTTTACCTTGCTTATGGAACTTCCCATTGCTTAAATAAGTGAAACTTTTCTTAATACCTCCAGGACACTATTAAACACAGTGCTACATTTGATAGAACTTGCGTACTTTGCCAACTTTGACAAGTCTGTGGTTGCTGCTTAGAATGCTGTGGTTACTTTTGAACTCCATAAGGAAAAGAGCACCCTGTTTCACTCTCAGTGCCCCTCAGCTACAGGGAGAGAAAGAATGTAGTCTCAGATACCTGCCATCTTTTGATAAAGATGCAGGAAGCCATCCAGGTTTTAGAAGCTGTTCTTACTATTTTCAAGTAGAAAAAGAGAAATGTAGTTGAATGACTATAATTAACAACACAATGACACATTCCAAATTAGCTATAAGGTAGAATAGTAAATTGCTTTTCAGTACTATTCTCATATTGCTGAGAAATTAGGTAGCATGTTAATGTGACTAGCAAATTATCTAAGATACAGAAGTTTCATAAATGTTAGTGGCTGCTGTCTGTCACTCCATTTTCTTCCTAATGGTCTTGTTGGTAGGCAAGATGACATCTGTGAAGCAAGTAACAGATTTACTAGGTTTTCATAAGAGCAATCTTTGTTGTTTACAATGCTGTTATCGATGATAAAAATCTGCTAGTGGGAAGTTATTTAAATTCATCATTTACTTACTCATGTGAAGAAGTAAGGAAAACAGAAGAACTATGTCTTACAGTATTTAATAGACTGATGGTTACATCTATAAACAACAACAATAAACTGTGATACAACAACTATTTTTACAAATATTGAAAAAACAAGTCATACATATCTATAAAGAACTATGAAGTATTAATTCTTCTGACCCTCTTAAGAGGCATGAATGGAAGATACATACAATTATGGATACTTATTATTGTAATAACGTGGTCTAAAGACACTTCTTGATAATGTTTCTCCAAAGATCTATGTAAGAAGAAAGTAAAAACTATGGACATCCATTTTATTACATTGTTTCTTTTAAGAAAAAAAAAGAAAAAGAAATGCATTTTGGAGAAAAGCATGCAGTGGTAGAACGGAAATGTTCATAGACGTTTACTGAAAGTCAGAAACTTCAAGAAGAGTCGAACAGGTTAAGGTTTGTGGATCTAAAGAATATTTTTATAAGTGACAAGGGTCTCTAGTTTCAACTTCAGAAGTCTGAAGAGATAGACCTTTGTACTTAATCAGAGAATGCTCTTGCATCAGGCATTCTTGACACATTGATCCAGATTAAAAAAAATCAATAAAAACATGTACATTCCCTTAGCCATACAGAATATATTAAGTGGCTCTGGGCCTGGTTCTGGCCTCACCTCCCTCTGCTTCCCTGGGCCTACACAACCAGGAAACAGCCTCTTTCCTGGACACTGGAGCTGACTTCTTGGCACAGAACCACCACTGCTTCCTGATCCCTTGCATCCAGACAAACCCAGTTCCTTCTCAGAAATAAAATGACAGGATTCAATACACATCTTTCATTAATAACTTTAAATATTGATGGACTGAACTCACCAGGCAAAAGAGACAGACTAAGTAAATGGATTAAGAAACAAAACCCATCTTTTTGTTGTCTGCAAGAAACTCATCTCACTTTCAAGGACAGGCACTATCTTAAGGTGAAAGGATGGAAAAAAAATATACCAAGTGAATGGTACTAAGAAAAAAGTAGAAATTGCAATTCTGGTATCTGACAAAATAGACTTTAAACTAAAACTAATCAGAAGAGATAAAGAGGGCCATTTCATTCTGATCAAAGGAACAATAAACCAAGAAGATATTACAATCATGAACATATATTCGCCAAACCCTGTGCACTCAGCTTCATAAAAACAGTACTATGGGAATTTAAGACCCAGATTAATCCCAACTCATTAAGAGTAGGGGACTTCATACCCCACTGTCTCCATTAGATAGGTCAACGGGGCAGAGAATTAACAGAGAGACATCTGAATTAAATAAACAATACCATATATCAAATGGACCTAACAGACACCTACCGAATATTCCACCCAAGCAAAAAGGACATACTTTCTATTCAGCACCCCACTGACCGTTCTCCAAAACTGACCATATACTGGGGCACAAAACGAACCTCAACAAATACAAAAAGAGCAAAATAATTCCATGTGTTCTATCAGACCACAATGCAATAAAACTTACAATCAACACTGGAAGAAGCCCTAGTCACCACATGAACATATGGAGATTAAACAACACACTCTTGAATGATGA